TTCACTTGGGAAAAAAAATAATTTATGCATTATTATTTGTACATTTGCTCAAAATCAGTCAAAATTACTTCTTTGGGCAATCTGGTGTTAATTGCTCGCGAAAAATTTCAAATTTTGAAAAATGGCTCGGACTATAAATGAACTTGGCCACCCCTGTTATATACAATTCCTGATTTCGTCTGCGAGATTCGTAAAATGAAATATAAGAAATATTGACTACGAGAATTAATAAAATTGCAGAAACTGGGTAAGAATGCAGAAGATTTTGCACATATCTTATCTAATCTCTGATATGGTCGTATTATCAGGCATTATCGATAGCAGTCTACGGGACAGAAGCAGGGTTGCACCCTTTTTGCACAATTTTACCACGAGCCGTGACTCACGGCCCCGCTATATTCGGTGCCGGTGGCAATGAACCAACCGAATCGACTGGGAAACAGCGTGACGAATACCTCTCGAACCGACCAAGCGTACCGCGAGAACGCTCTCACTTTTACCGGCGAGCATCGGATCCCGCGAGAAAGCACGGTTGGATCATAGCTGCTCTTAGGTAACCGCGATCATTGACATTTCGTCATCGGGTTCATAAAGGGTAGATCGATTGTACTACGTGCGATATTAATTATGTTCCACGATTCTAATCCACCGCTGTGCAATCGTTCCGTATAATAATTCTATATAATTCTGTTGGATAATTGAATTCCATAATTTGATTGCACGCTCTTTGCGCGTCTACGTCAATCAAAAGAGGATTAAGGAGCTTCGAAGGTTTTATTTGTACACGACTGTCCTTAGATTCATTTTTATACATTCGTTCGAATAACTAATAAATTCATGTTTTATATGCAAAAGTCCAGCTGATATGCTTCCCGTTCTGATATAATAAAATCATCCCTGACATATTTGCCATATTTATTACAGGATTTAATTAATCGATGCTTACCTTTACGGTGACGCTGTTGACGGATCCCTTGATAAGATCAATGATCTCTTCCCGGGATTTATCGTCGACATTGATCCCGTTGATCTCGATCAGCCGGTCGCCAGGCAGTAGCCCGGTATCGTTATTATGCTGAAGCGAACCGGGTTCGGCGAAGGTCACCGGCCGCATCTGCGTTTCGCCGCTCGCGGTTCTCTCGACGATCACCGCGCGGCGTAACGAGAAACCGAAATCGTTTCGCGGCGGCGGTTGCCTCTGGATCGTTAACTCGCGCGGTTCGGGTAAATCCAGTGACACTATTTCCGGTAGCTGGAGGTCGACGCCCTGGTCCTCGAACGACGCCGAGGACCTCCACCTCAGCAGACCCTGAGACTCGCCTACGGGCGACAGGCTGAACGGTGGTGTCGCGAAACTCGAATTAGTCGTGTCCGTCAACGAATCCGCGGATGGACTCGCGCTCGTCACCACCTGGAACATGCAAATCATTCAATTTTTTAGTTAAATCATTTACGAAGGAGAGAGGATGCAGGGAATTATTTCGTTTATTGAAGTGACGATTGAATTAAATAAAAAATGAATAAAAATAATAGAATTTAAATTTCAGAAAAAACAACTCATAGAATATTTATTAAAATAACAAAACTGACCTGCAGTAGCTTGTCGCTCTGGTGTTGGTGCTGCTGCTGCTGCTGGGTCCTCTGCGGGGAGACTTGCCAGGACCCTTGGCCGGGTTCCTCTTCGCTGCAACCTTCTTCTTTAACAGAATTGGCAAACGTAGCCGACAAATGTGCGGGCACGTTCTGATACGCGATCACCTCGTTCTGCAGCGTGTTTCTCACTAGGAGATTGCTGGCTTCTTGGTAACTGTTCTCGTTCCCGTTTGGGAGGTGAACTTCTTCGGACAGTGAGTTCACCGTGTTGCTAACGCTGAGCCGCGGTCCTTTCAAGATCCCTCGTTTTGGAGGTTTCGGTGGCAACGGAGGCAGGTTTCTTCCCTGACCCGACGCGTTCGCCGACCCAGAGCTGGTGATCGTCAACGAAGTCAACGAGGTTTCCGAGGAATCGCTTTGAGTGAGACCGTCCGGCGTTCTGTTCGTCCAACTGTTACCGGTTCGCGGGTTCTGGCTCGAGTTCGACGAATTTTGAGAGTTCTCGAGGAGGTCTCGGTCCAGGTACGCGAAGAACGACGCGCTGTAGTCGGCCGTGATGCCGCTCGGTAACTTTTCCTTCTCCTTGCGGCGACCGGGGATCTTCAACGATCTTCGAACCTGTAAAAGTCCAAATTAAATTTATAGATCTATAATTTTATCTTAGCTATCATAGAAATTTCAACTTTAATTTTTATTCGCGAATCGAATTAATGAGTCGGCCATCTGAAATTCTTTCATTGTATTTTAACGTTCGTACATTGTGTTTGTTTTTTCTTATCTACATTCCAGTATCTATGCAAATTGATGCGGATACTATTATTCAACTATTTAACTAACGCAGTATTTCATGTCACTCTAAAATTGATTTGAATAAATATCGTTGTGAAAATGTTAGAACGTAGTCAACCTTTATGCATAACATCCACAATACACTTGTCCCGGTGTTTCAAACTGACAATTCACCTGAGGTTACGATCTCAGTACGTCAAACTGTACAACCATTTATTTAAAATTGTTTTACGTATGAATTTGGCTCAGGGGCAAGTTCAGAGAGACGAGGCTCGAAAGTTTCGCAACTCGAGGTTTTCCAAACGGATCGTGAAAGTCAACGAATTCCGTAATATCGAAACAAAAATTACGACATGATACAAATAAGAATCCCAGTTGGTTATCACTTCGATAATGACGCGGCACGGCACGAAAGATTAGAGACTGTAATTAAAAATAAATGTACCTCGTCGAGGCGCAGGAGTTCCTCGGCGGACATGCTACCGCGGTCTCGTTTCTTGACATCCTTCCGCTCCTTCTTCTCGCGTTTCCGCTTCTCCTTGTCGTCCTTCTCCGCGGCCTTCTTCATAAAGTTGAACATCTTCTCATCGGCGGCGACGCGTTGAACACCCGCGAAACTGATAACAATCGCGAGCACCGGGCCGCGTCTTGCTATCTCTTATTCCACTCCACCACTGTTCGCCGGCCGCGTGCACCACGGCACCACGTTTACGCGCACTCTCGTGTCTCGATCGCGCGCGCAACGCGATCACAACACTGTTCATCGAAACGATTATTGTTATGTATGTATCGTGTGCACGCCCGTTACCGCTACCGTTCGCCCGTACGCTAAACAAACACGGTACATCCTATCACCCGTAGCACACAGACACGCGG